GCGGCTGGGGTGGAGACGGAGTGTGGCCCACGCACACAGCCTGCAGGAAGGAGGGCTTGGAAGTGCTCTACCAGAGCTGCGGTAAGGGCTGCTCAGGGGCCCCTGTGCTTCTGGGGAAATGAATGCGGGGTGGGGGGCAGCCGGGGCTTCTCGAGCGCATGGTGTGGAAGGGGAGAAGGGGAAGTCGACAAGCGCTATGTCCGCCTGCAGTGAGTCTTCTAGGCCCACTGCAGACCCTGGGAAGGAAGAGCTGGGAGGGTCGGAGAGACTCATGAGAGACCAAGAAAAGCGCAAGAAAGAACCATCAGGAGGCTAATTATAGCCATTCACAAACTGTATCAGAATGCCCAGAAAAGAATCAAAATGATCAAGGAATCTTCCCAGTGATGAAAATTAGGAAAAGATTCCTTTAACAGATCCTTCCCCCAAAACTGTATACTTGAGCTAGATTTCCAGGCTGTGAAGTTTACGAGTTAGGTGAAATAGTCACTTCTGTCCGAATATTCCCATCCATCTATGCTACTTCCAGAGTTTCTGTGGCAGCGATGTCGCCTGTTAATGTGACAAGCACTCTGGAGAAGGTATCAGTGCAGGGATTTCTCTGGCAACAAGATGACAGATGTGAGGACTGTGGTTTGAATGTGCGCCTCAGAAAGCATGTGTTGGGTGCATATCCCCACTGGGACTGGACTGGTAGAGACAGGATGCCCTGAGGAGTGACCAAGAGAAGAGGACTTGGGCCTCAGGAGTAGATGTGTCATTACACGGAAATCCAGGGCCGGCTCATGAAAAGGTGTGGCACTGTGAAATCGGACAACCTGGGGAGCAAAATGCTGGGGTCTGAAGGAGGTAGGGAATAGTGAAGATGAGACCTGGGGTACATAGCTGGTCTCAGTGATTGCCGGCCAAAAGCTGGCCCAAGAGGACCCAGGTGGTCCATCGGGGTGCCAGGGCCATTTGCAGGACTTTGAAAAGAGGAAACTTGAAGTGCATAAGCCATTAAAGACAAGCAAGAGAGTGAAGGGCTGGAAGGTGGCAGTGCTGATTTTGTCACTTGTGCCTGTCCCACGGGACAGGATACAGCATCTGGCCTCCCACTACTGTTAGGAGTGACATGATAACAAGACTTGAGGTGCCCAGCTGGTTGGTGATTGTCCTTCCAGTCCACCCTTGTGGAAACAAGAGTTACGACTGGTCTGTCACCCAGACTCAACTTCAGTCTCCAGCTGTCCTTTCAACTCAATGGCAACAGAGGCTGAAGACTGAGGACATCAGGAAAGACCAAGGACATACCCTCCATCCATCTGGGGCTGGCACTTCTTCCTGGAGGTCGAACTAAACCTCAGAGACCAGCCCTGATTCAGGCACTAGAATAAGGAATGCGAGAAACATAGTTTTTTTCTGAGCGTAGGGGGAGGGTCAGCCAATGAAACCACAAATAAAGGCTGCCACAGAGGCAGGCACATGAGTCAGGGGATAGAGGCCACTGTGGTGGTCAGACAAGGGGGAGGTTGGTGTCTAAATCCATCAGGAAAGAAACCATTAAGTTGAAGTCTAAAATTTATAAATGTGGGCATGGAGCCTTTGAGTGTATGTTCCAGGCAGCATGTTACATGCTTGCTATGCACTGTTTTTGTTTTACAGATGTGTAAACTGAGGGCTAGAGGCTCTGCAGGCTCTGAGAAATTCTCTATAACCACTCTTATTGTTACTGTTATACTTTCCATTTGTGATGGTTTGATAAGGGCTGAATGACAGAAATCTTGGTTGTGTTCTCTGGGAAAAGCCTGAAGTGCAGACCTTAGTCTAATCATTTTACGTGCTGTGACATCTCTCAGGCAGAGAGAAGGATCATGAGCAGTAGGAGAGCTGTGACACATCCTCAGTGACTTTGTGTACCCTCGTAGTTTCTCCGATAGTGACAGGCAACCTTACCACATAAGTGGTTCCTAGCAACGGTCGGAGGCAGGTCCCCGTGAATGGTAGGCCCAACTCACAGGTCAAATCCTGCTTGCTGCTTGGTTTTCCACAAGGTCTGGGAGCTAAGAACAGTGTCTATGTTGTTTAATGATCAAAGAACTCAAAAGAAGAATAATATCTGTATTTATTCATCAGCTTTCAATCACTAAAGCAAACACCTGAGATGACTGGCTTATTTAAAAGAGGGCTGTTTGGCTCCCAGGGCTAGAAGCTTCCAGCCAGGATGAGCAGACCCCACAGCTTGGGGACCAAACTTGTAACACACGGGCCTTAGGGGAACCCTTGAGATCCAAAGTATAACACTGGCACACATAGGAATTTTATGAAGCTCAGATTCCTGCGTCCATAAAGAAAATGTTACTGGAACACAGCTAGGTGTATTTTGTAACGTATTGATTAGGGCTGCTCTTGCACTATAATGGCAAAGTTTAGGACTATGACTTTGACCATACGGCCCTCAGAGCCTGACTGCGACTTGGGCCTTTATTTAAAAAATAGTTGATCCGTGGTAGGAAGGAATCTTGCAAGCTGCTTATCAGCTCGTAGCCTCAGAGTCTGCATCCTCCAGATAATTTAACCCATGGAAAGGCTCTACGCATGAGTAAACCTGACCTCCAGACCCCCATGATTACAGGAGTGTGCAGGACTTCTTTAATAAAATGATCATTTCATAATAATTTCTTCCATCTCCATGTCATTTAAAAATTTATAAAGCCCTTCCATTGTCAAGGCCTCATTTAACTCTTATAAATAGGCCAGTAAGGTAAGAAGGATATTTATCCCCATTTTCTAGATATAGAAACTAAAGTGTATGAATACTAAGCATTTAAACAAAGGAACTCCCTGAGCCATGATAGAAGCCTGCAAGGTCCAACTCCATGAATAGTGATTTATTTTTTTAATCTTTATTCATTTATTTGGTACAGGATCTCACTACACAGCTAGGACTGGTAGTCATCCTACTGTCTCAGCCTCCCCAGTGCTGGGATTGCAGGTGTGCACCACCACATCTGGTTTTGGTGGCCGCCACAGCACAGGGCTGGTACAGCATGTGGTACCAGGGATCAAACCCAGGCCCTTGTGATTGCCAGGCTATCTCCCTAGCCCAGCTCTTTCCTGGAATTCTAGTAAGGAGCGATCCATACCATTGGATCCCAGAGACGCAGAATCAGAAGAGGGAAAGGCAAACTCAAAAGTAAGTGTTTAGATAAGGTAAAAACCCCAAGCAGTCTGTGGGCTAGCAATACAGGAAGAGAAGGAGGAAGGCACAATCAGGAGAAGAAGCAAGGAAAGAGGAAAGAGAGGAGGAAGATAAAGGTGCAGATGAAAAAGAGCCAGGAAGAGGAGGAAAGGGAGGGGAGGAAGAACGAGCGGCGTCTTCTGATTAAAGGCTGGTTTCCCTTCTCTGCCACCCTCCTTTCCCATCCACTGGTCTCTACATGCCTCCAGAGATGACCCAGCTGGGCCCTTCCTTCCCCAGCATGCATCACTCCCTGAAGCAGCTAGGAAGAAGCACCTCTGCATCTACGTGTTTAACCATGTGCCCCACATGTCCTTTCATTGCAAGGTGGTACCCGGAATGACATAACCCCAAATAAGTAAATGAAACGCTGTTCTCTTAGCAGTAACAACAGTGCCTTTTGCAGTCAAGTTTCTCCTGTGCAGTTGGCATGCTTATTTCATAAAGAAGCTGTCAAGGTTTAGGCCTGAGATGTCCCCCAAAGGACTCTATATGTTGAATTCTTGGTTGCTGACGAGCTTACTGGAAGCGAATAGATCCTGAGGGATCTAACTTCATCACTGGGTCATCACTGAGAGCTTAATATGGTGGCATTGTTGGGAAGCTATGGGAAGAGGAGGGAGGACAAATAGAAGACAATGGCCATGGGGTCGTGGCCTTGCAGCTGCATCTGGGCTCCAGCCCTTTCTCGCTGCCTCTTTCCCTCTCTCTGCTTCCAAACAGCAATGGTATATAGTATCTGTGTCCTTCCACCACAGTGTTCTCCCACAGCAATGGAACAACCTGGCCATGGATTGGATGAAACCTGTGGAACCATAAGCCAAAAGAAACCTTTCCTCCCTTAATCTTCCCATGTCTTTTCTCACAGAAATTAAAAAGTGATTAACACAGAAGGTCCATTTTCCATATGTGACAAATTCTCCTCTGTCAAGTAGCTGGTGAGTGGGGAACAGAAAGGAGACCTACCTTGGGTGATTGCCTGGGCCCCAGTTAGCCTCTGGGACTTTCCGGGGCCAGGTTACCATGGCGCCTGGGCACCGCTCTTCAAACTTGTAATCAGCACCTGCTATCCTGTCCCTAAAGGCAGTCAGCCTTGTCCACTTATTTGCTTAAATAAGTTTCATGTGTTGCCAAAGTTTGCTATGAGGCAGGCAGTTTATTTGACCTTCAGAAACCCTTTAATTACAAAGTCTAAGTCAAGTCACATGCACTTGAGTAATCCATCAAGGTAGTCAAATAGGATGACGATTAATCAGACTTTAAGAATGCAAAACAATGCTGGCAACAGCTCAAAATAGAAGATAAGCTGCAAATGACCTGGCCAAGAGCAGCACCAACAAGGCGTATTGATAAAATGTTCCATAGAAAAGTGTTTTAAGCTTGCCCTGGGAGGAAAGGGATAGGAGGAAAAAAATAAACCTATCTTCTTCAGAGCTTCATAATTCTGAAGTACATGGAGCATATAATAAACACAAAAGACACAACATTAAAATATCACAGGCTAATAGTCATTAAGCAACACTTGTAAATAGCTCACCCAGAAAGCAATTTCTCTGTTAGTTTATTTTCACAGATAAACAGGGTTATAAAACTACAATTCAGAAAAAAACGGACACACACCCAGAGAGACACAGTTGTAATTCCAAAGCGACAGTTTGGGCGTGCAGGACTCTGCAGCAGACTCTGAAGCAGGGCAGGCTTTGGGCTAGTATTTAAAGAAAGGAAGTTGGTGAATAATAACGGATGTCAACCCTGAGGTGCAGATGTTTTAAGCACTGGTGGAACATGAACTAGCTCTGGGAGACAGGCAACCCTGCAGGCCTGTGTTCCTGGGACCCTGTCACTGGGATCCTCCCAGTTT